ACGGGGGCCATGCCCATGAGGGTATCCCCCCCCCTGCCACGGCTTGATGAGGCTCAAGGGCTCTGAGACAGCATCCTGCGTACAGCCGTTTGTTTCTGGCACGGGGAGCCGGGCTGCAGGGCAAGGGAGAGAGCACCAGACCTGGGGATAATGTAACATCCCTGCAGCCCAGCTTAGCACTAATTAAATCATTTGCTTTGACATGTGAACATCCAAATCAAATAAAAACTAATGGGATGGAAAGATTTATAAATTGGTCTTGTATTACTAGAGTAAACTATCAAATCCATCGCAGCCAGATTCATGGCGCCGCGGGTCCCCTGGCTGGAGCGGGCAGGGAGTGGGCAGGGAGCAGGCAGGGAGCTGCTGCCACGGTGGCTCTGGGCACACCGGAACCCTCCGGCAGCAGCGCCGCAGTGAGCCGGGCGCCTGCCTCAGGGCCACTGCCCTCCTGCCCCAGCCCCTCGGGGAGCGGTGCAGGCTGGAAGGGCACCTTCTATCGCAATTACGTTTGTTGCTCAGAAGCGTCCGTCACTTTTTCCACTTCGAGGTGCAAGTTGGTGTCTCCTGTTCATAAACTCACTGATTTGGATTCAGCTGTGCAGCAAAACACAGGCTGAGAGGCACAGTCAGGCACTGCCCGAGCAGAGTTCTATGGGGAAGTGTGAAAAGTGCCCCCACTTTTTTTTTTTCTTAAAACAGAGCCCACATGTTTAACATGAGGTGCCCACACATGCCTGGCACAGGGCAGCACACTGGCTGCCCGAGAGCCCGCGGGCAGCCCGGCCACAGGGACCCCAGGGAGCAGGAGGGGCATCCCCGAGTCAGTCCTCTCCCGCTGCACCTGGAGGAGCTGGGAGGTCACGTTAATGGACTGGGAGCTCTGGATGTCTGGGGAAACCAGCGAGGCCTGGGGACAGAAGCAGTCAGGGAAAGCAAACATCAGCAACCCTGTCTGCAGCAATTCAGCTGGAGAGAGCGAGGCACTGATTTATTCATGGACTAAACCCTGCACAAGCACCACGGCCATGCTGCAACACGGCTGTTTCCAAGAGCTGCATCAGCCCAGTGACAGACACCAGACACCTCCAGGGAAACCAGCGGTCCCTGCAGGGTCTCTAAAACAAGGTCCACAACCACCAGCTTTGGGGCTTGCTCTGTAGAGAGAAACCCAATGAAAGACCTAACTGGGAGGAGATACACCAGCAGCCCACAACCTCCTGCGTGACAAGGGAACCATGATGGAAGACCCGCGGCATCGTGGAGGGCAGCAGCATGTGTTGAGGGTGGTGGGTCCCCGGTGGACCCAGGACACTCCCTGTGAAGGTGATGCGGGGACACGAAGAGACCGCGGTCCAGGGGGACCAGATGAGCAGCTGGAAGAGACCCGTGGAGAGATACCAAAGAGACGTGCCCAGAGGTCTGTGCCAGGCTGCTGGGGAGCTACAGGAGACGACGGCCAAAGCCAGCCTCGCTTCCCCCGGTACTGGCACAGGGACGTGGTCCCCGTGCCCCTCATGGCCCCAGAGCTGCTGGGCCGCTGCCCCCTTGGCACGGAGAAGGGGACTGCCTGTCCTGGGGCAGCACGGCAGCCAGTCCACGTGCTCTCACGCACTCTTGACTGGATTCCTCATTTGAAAGCGAACAAACTAATTAGCTAGCATAAATTAAGTGCTGTTTTACAGAGGTACCTGAGCACGGACATGGCTTAATTGGCCTTTCCCACTGCTCCGCTTCAAACCCCATAAATCCAGATTACGATTCCCATTGTTTAATGACTGTCAGGAAGTGCTAATTTAGCGGCAGGCACCACGGCTGTATCTCGGTATCACAAACAGGTTTTGTCATAAATCAGCACGGGACAGCTTTATAAGCGATTCACTATTACAATATATTGGTGGAGAATCATAAAACTGCTGTTTCATTAATGGCTCATCTTCAGCCTTGTTAGACTTTCATTACGTGAGCTATTAGGTCCATGTATTCAAAAAATGAAATTACAGGTTCTAAACCGTTGTGAAAAACACAAAATCTCTGCATAGTAAATTACTGAAATGAGACAAGAGTTGTTGTTTTTTAAATGGACTCCCAGTGTTTGCTGCTCCTGAACAACAGAGACTGCTGAGACAACAAAACACAACCCGAATAGATAAATAAATCACCAGTGAAACCATGCAAGGGGGAGAAATGTCATCCAGGCATTCATCTTTACGTTAACAGCGGGATCCCCAGAGCTGCGAGAGCGGGGAAATGCATTGCAAACTTAATTACAGTTGACTTTAAAATGATATTTTTGGACTTCTGCATTCACAGAGTTATTTGCATACAAATAGCATGTCACATAGTTTTAAGCCCAAGAGTTGCGTGTTTAGGTGTGAAGGCTCTCGGTAGCCAGTCGTGGCGCCGTGTGGCCAGGGCTCAGGCAGGAGCCGCTCCTCCTGCTTCAGGGACCTGTCCTGGGCACTTGGGGCTTTGCTAAAGATCCCCAGCCGGCCTCGGCACTGCCTCCCGGTGCACGCTGAGCGAGCGGCTGCCATCCCGTGCCAGAGCTGATGCCAGCATGGTGATGGTGAGTGGTGATGTACCGGCAACACCGGTGGGGATGAATGGCTGGAGCACTCGCTGGGTGCAGAGGGAGACACCAACCTGCTGTTCTTGGGGGAGCTGCTGGGTTCCGAGGGATGCTCAGCAGCCACCTACTCCAGCTCCAGGGACGAGGACGGTGCTGCTTGGATGGGACAGTGTGGCTGCCATCACGACCCTGCTACATAACAGGTCCCCCCATGACAGTGGAGCTGGGTGGTCGCCTGTGTGACAGGAGAGGTGTGGGGTGGCTTTGGTGGTCTGGGAGGGCAGCACAGGGCTGCTTCGCTCGCCCCCAGCCCTCCAGCTTCCTCCACAGCGTGACACCGCTACCAACGCTACACACTAGCCGCTGCCAGCGCTCTCCCCATCAGCACAGCCCGGCTGGAGAAACACCGAGGCTTTCTCCACTGGGCAGCGGTGCACAAGCCATCCACACCGTGTCCCGGTGATGGGAATCTGTGATGCGGCAGAAATGGAGGAGGTCAAAAATGCTGATGTTGAGTGAATACCAGGGCAGCTCTGCACGGAAATCATTAGAGGCGTAGTGGAGCAGACTCTGGTCTTGCAGCAATGCCGTGGGCTGGAGAGCAGAGCAGCCTCTCCTCGACCTGAACCTGGCTCCCTGGGAGAGAAAACCACAAGGGAGGTTGAGGAACATTCCCGGCGCTGCTCCAGCCCCGCTGCTCTCTGCGGAGGATGCTGCGCTTTGCCCCAGCCCCGGGCTCCCTGCCCAGGCGAGAGCCGCTGCCGGTTCCACTGCCCACACCCCCCCAGAGATGCAGGACCGCAGTCACGGCCTCGGGATGCGCAGGAGGGGTCCCCGAGGAGGGACAAGCCTCGGCGGGAGGCGTCAGAAGCTCTTCCAGCAGTAACGGTGGGACGCAGCTCACACTTCATTCCCTGCAGACGCCGTTCAGCAGCTACAGGCTTTTCGCTTCGTTTGCTTTTCATTGCTCTTGCCAAGGAGGCCAACGCTCTGACCAAGAGAGGCATTTAATTATTGGGGGCATCACGGCTCCCCTCGGGGCAGCCCGTTAGTCGGGGGCTGCAGGCACATGTGCTCGACGGTGCCCGTGCAAACACTCCCCTGGGGCTGGGGGTTCCCACACTACAGGACCCACTGGGTATACTGGGGGAGCTGGGGGGTGGCCCTGACACCAGCCAAATCCCCCGCTCAACACATTACTCTGGCTGGAAACACAGTATTAATTCCTCTTGAATTAGAGATTATTTTCATTATAGTTACTCAATTCTTAAAGCCCTTCAGTGCCATTTGATATCAACGCTCCCTTCCAACCCGCAGATTTACAGGTTGTGTTTGCCCATGTTACCGGAGCGGGGGGGACATGCGGGGTACATCCAGCCGCTGGCATGACCCCAGGAGAGCTGCTGTCCCCTGACGTGGCTGAGCCGGTGTCGCTGTGCCCCAGAGGGCCTGGGAGCCGGTACGCCCTTGGGCAGCCCCCATGCCCCACGGCTGTGGGGCGGCAGCAGCAGAGAGCCTGTCCCCGGCTGTGGCTGTGCCGGTGCGAAGGCAGCACCTCACCCTGAAGGAGTTAACTTCTCACCAGCACCTTTCCTAGACCTGAATTATTAATTTCCTTATAATCTGCCTTTGGGCACCCTGCGGCCCCTACAACACTCCCACATTAAAGAAACATACGCTCCCTCGCTGGCTGCGCTGCTTTGATGTCGAACATGCGTGAAATACTCTCCCAGGGAGGAATTTGTACAAAAATTCATCAGACGATTGAGATATTGCAGATAAGCGTGCGTGGGGAGAGCGCCCATCCGATAATCCCATTACAGCACTGGTCCCTCCATCCAGTTTGCGGAAAGTGGGGGAGAGCGGGGCAGCTCCTGGGTCAATATTTGCCTGCTGCAGCTCGCTGTGTGCGAGGACGTGGCGGGCGCATCCCGGGCTCTCCTCAGAGGCTACAGACTGACGTGTGCGTAATCCCGGACTCCATCCACTCATCAGCATGAAAACAAACTGTTTAATTTGGCAAAAAAAAATCCCAAGGGCTGGCTCTTGTGACGAGGGTTGTGCGCTTTCCGAACTCTTCCAGCTGACGTCGCAGGCTGGGCGGCTGCATGCGGGGACGCTGCCTGCGCACAGGCAGGGAGAGGGGAGTCCTCCAAGCTGGGAGCCAAAATCTTCCAGGACAAGCAACAACCCACTTGCCACCCTCCTGGCAGGGACGGACCAGCTGGGGCTCACAGGGC